TCCAGTACTTGCGTACCTTAGCATCTTGCTTTTGAATGTATTGGTTAAGCAAAACTTTAACTTCTTTAGCTAGGGAAGTCAGCGGTTCCCACGAGTCTTCTATGGACTCAAGGCCTCTCCAGCCCACTAGGATCTCATAATCTTTGATTGTTGAGTTCCAGCGATGCTTTTCCAGCTGTGATATGGCTAAAATGATGCCTTGGGCAGCCACGTGCTCGAGGATTTCCTCGTTTACGTTTAGACTTTGGTCCGCATAGAACTTTAAACGTGATGCATGGGCATCTAACTCACTTCTAGATAGCCATGGTTGTCTTGATAGCCATAGAATAAACTTCGGGTCTGATGTTAAAAGGTCTAAGACCGTTTTGCTTTTGTGTTTGCCAAAGAGGATGACTTGGGTTTCGCTCATTGTAGTGTATAGTGTGGTGTTATGTGTGATGGTTATATAGTACTGATGAAGCTTTGTTGAAATAAAAAATAAAAAATAACGTAGTTATTGATTCAAACGTTATATTGTGGGATTGCTACAGCTTTGATATGTTTTTTGCTGAGTTCGCGAAGTTTTATCTTTGAAGGCGGCATATGTGCTGTATTCATCCCGCATCCACAAAAGTCTGGTCGCTTGTTGAGTAGTTTGAGATGAAGTGATTTCTTCATATGAACAATGAGTGCGTCGCGACGTAGGTATAAACCACAGGTGCAAACCACCTTTTCATGTGGGAGTGCTTTTGGCAAATTTGGGTATCGTTGTTTGGTAGTCATACTTTCTGATATACTTAAATATTTAAAGCTTAAGAAAGATTCAAAAAGGTTTGGGGCCGAGCGCAGCGAGGCCCAGATGAATAGTGTATTAAAGCTAATTAGCCCGTCTCATGAGACGTCTTTAGAGGTCGTTTCGCGGCCTAATGAAGTATTTTCTTCAACAGCCCTTCTCGTGAGCTCTCGTAGAGACGGCATTTCAGCTCTAATACACTATTCATCTGGGCCGAGCGCAGCGAGGCCCAAACTCATTCTTATCCGAGGCGAAAGCTTCCACCCTTTGGATGTAATCCGACACCGTATCGCCCACGGATCCCTCTACGCACCGAACGAATCATATCCTCATGCTCAGGCTTCGTTGCCTTGCTTAAGAGATACTTCTCACCAGCATCTACTACGTCCGTTACAATCCCTCTCTTCTTAGCGTAAGTGCATGCCCGTGAGGCACCCTGTCGTATGTCCTTGAGCGTGAGACGACCGCCCTCGGTATCTTGCTCCATACCAACGCCAGTTAATGCCTTTAGTCCAGCACGAGCCGGTACCGCGAGTTCAGGTTCACCAACTGCGGTTGCAAGTGCCGGAACCGCCGTGTTAGCGATCGTGGATA